TAAAAGAAAAAAAAAAGTGATAAAAAATTTTGTCAATTGATTTTATAATTTTTTGTAATTTTTTAATAAATTTTATGAAATTTGTTAAACTTTCTAAATATTTAATACTAGATTTGTAATTTTTATTACATTTTTTATTATAGTATGCAATTTTTTTTTACTGAATTTTTTGTTGTAGTATCAATTTTTTTGTTAAATTTTTTGTTACAATATTAATTTTTTTATCAAATTTTGTATTGAATTATTTTGTCATAGTAAGTTAAAAATTTTTTGCCGATTTTTTGCCAATATTTTTAATGTCAAGTGACAATAATAAAAAATAATTCATTAATGTTTTTATTATTACATTTTATTAAATTCCATAATAATTTAGCTATCAAATAATATAATTTTAACTAGTGACTATTGCTTATAAAGCTTCTTTCAATATTTAAAAAGAAATTTTAAAAAATATAATTAGTAAAATTTTATATTCTTTTATTGATAAATTTTACATTCATCAATTATGATTTCAAAAATATTATATTATTGGAGTAAATAAATTCTTTAGAAAAATAATAGTACTATGAGAATTAATAAATAATAAGATGATAAATTTTGATTCTGATCAAAATATTTGATTTGATATAAAAAAGAATTATATATTGCAATCAATTTTTATTGTATATAAAAATATATATACAGTATATACAGTATATATTTGATTTACCGAAATTATTAGAAAACAAGTTTTGTTTAAAGAAATTTACTGATAAGAAAGAAGGAATAAATATGATACTTGAAGTTTGATTTCATGTAAAAGAATTTTGGCTTATTTAATTTTCTATTTTTAAAATAATGATTATAAAAGATTTGTTACTTTTTAAATTGTATAATTCTTTTTTTTTTTATTAATGCATTTTAGGTACATGAACTCTGTTTTAAAAATTTTCCATGAATTACTATTATTGTTTAATTATCAACAAGTAATTTAACACAATAACTTTTTTTATTAAATCATAAAATTCTCATAATTTATCGTAACACTATAGAATTTAGAATGTTAAACATTCATTAATAAATATGCATAACAAATACGCATGTACGGTGAAATGGTTGTTTGGTGCTTTCTTCCTTCTGATTTGTTCTGACCTTTTTGTGTGCTGTAAACTCATGCATGTATGAATGCGCGTGAGCTGTCCATGTGAAATATTGTTGCACCACGCTTTCATCCATCTAGATTTCAAATTTGAATATCGATGCACCACATCTTCGCTAAATTGTGCACTGCACCTGCGTGGGTCAGTGTAAATTGGTTGCCAATCACACACCTGACTGTGAGAAAGGTAAGGGTACTCATTAATGTGCTACCATCACGCAAGTCATCTATGCAAATTTTAAATAGCCTTAACCACTTTATTCCTTTGCCAGAAAGGTATTATAGATAAAGGAATCATTTCCTCATATAAAGATATGCGCTACATAATAGAGTCAGGTATGGACACGTTCGCTTTCCTTTTTTCGGAAAATTAAAGATCGGCGACGGTAGTTGTTATATTATTTAAAATTATACGCCCAAGCATCCAACAAAAACTGGGGGCCGAAAAAATCATATTTAGCATTTTGGTCGCCTTCAAGAATAATTTCCCGTATACATACGTAACTACGTAGATGGTCAGGATCCCGCTGTCCAAACAATTTTGGATTCGGATTTTGGCTTACATAATTGACACAAACATTATTAAGTGCATCGTGGTATAATGATGATTTCATGGACCCCCCCCACACCAACTCCACTCCATTCTTACATATTGCAGGTGAAAAGTGGAAACCTACTTTAAAACTTTTGAACTACCGGTTTAATTAAGCGTTCTGTTTGTGAAACATAACATTGCAATGTAAAGAATTATAAATATCCAGTTTTTGATAAGCATAGTATTGACAACAGCAGTATGGGAAATATACTTTTTAAAAACGAAAATGGCATAATATCAAATGAATCAACAACCACCGCCACATTATTCAATTTTCGGTATGTTGACGGGAGAAGGTTTCATAATAATGATGACTCAAAATACTTTCTTCCAAACGATGACGAAGAATTAGATCGATTACATTTACAACACTTCGTGATTAGGCACGTCTTTCAGAGTAATTTTTCCGCTCCTGTCGAGCATGTTTTAAATAATGAAGGTTCCAAGGTGCTTGATGTAGGGTACGATAAGAAAATCACTGTCAAATTTACAATAAGTTTGAAAATATTAATATTTATTCTAATGAAATGAAAGCTGCGGGGCAGGCTCTTGGATGCTTGAGATGGCAACAAATTATCCAAAGGCAGAATTCACGGGAATAGATATCTCGCCTGTTCAACCTTCCACCATCAAACCTAAAAATACTTCTTTCGTTAACGCGAATGTTCTAACCAGGCTACCATTCGAAGATGACACCTTCGATTACGTGTTTCAACGTTTATTGTATACCGCGGTTCCTTTAGACAATTGGCCCGATGTTATTAAAGAATTAACGAGAGTTTTAAAGCCTGGTGGTTACCTGGAGGTACTATACCAATTTTACTATAAAATCGGATGTTCTTTTTATTAATATTAATAATATATTTTTATGCTCAAGTTATCGGAACTTAGTCAGCCATATAATGCAGGCCCGGAATCATCCAAAATTTATGAGATCGGTAATTTTTATTGTTAATACGTAATGAACGAGTTATGTACAGTACGTTCTTATTGCACAAAAATCACGCTATACGTATACGTAGGAAATGAGTTTCTTAAAAAGCGAAATATCGATCATAACATACTCTACAAATTACGGTCGTTCGTTGAACAAAATGGGCAATTTGAGGATGTCAATGAAGAAAAAAATAAAATTTCCTATGGCGCTGAAGCCGGAAAACTCGGTCAAGCGGTAATGAAATTCAGTTTTCGACGAAATCTGCGTTACCCTGATAACTAACCATATTTTACCAATAGGCCATTGAAAATGCAAAGTTCGGAATGCAAAATTCAAGGCCTCTTATTTTCCAAAATAATGAAATATCTGGAGAGGAGTTTGATGAAATAGTAAATAAAGTAGCTATAGAGTTGAGAGATTTTGACACCTATCATCATATAATTCGTGTTTACGCGCGCAAAAACGAAAAGGTCTGACATTATTTTTCGCGTAGTGATTGCATTTTTGCATGTAAAATTAAATAAAATAAAATAAAAAAATTTGAAAACGAAAACGAAAACAAACAAACAATCCTTTAAGATTTCGTATTATTCTTCTTTCGGCGACGCTCTGGTTAGTCAAATCGTTTTTACGCACTGCATACCGTACGAGTATAATAGGCGACCAATGTTTCGGAGTACATTAATTGCTGCACAGTGATTATGTAAATTTTAAATCAAAGATTTTTTTTTTACTCTTGGTCCCAGTCAACGTAGACCCGAAAGTAGTTGTAATTTTAGATGGATTAAAATAAAAGCCTTATGTTAAGCAATTAAAAATAACTTCCTTTTTTTGAAACCCGAATCAAGCCGGGTGGATTAGAAATTAATATAACTTGTTATATTTGAATTAACTTATTCAGAATTTCAACAATAATTAAAGATTAACTCAAAGTTTAATTTGAGGAAATCTAATAAGGCTTTCCATAGAAAGTGCCTCAATGAACAAAAGTTTTAGGTCGCACGGGATCTCGTTAGACAAAAGATTGTGCCATTCATTATTTTATAGGTTCCTTTACTATTTGTAAAAAAAAAAAAAAAAAGAAAGTATGGTGTTATACACATGATTTCGTACTTTCGGCAGTACCTTTATTAGTTTGCAAATGTGATTTTAAGATAAGCCGTAAACCGCTTTACCCATCTGAAACCTAAAACGGTTAATTTAAAGGCTACCTAACATCCCCCATGCATATTTGTGTGCAAAACATGGAATAGATAGTAACACTTCAATCTAGATTGACGGTGGTTATTAATATCTCCAATGTATTATCGGAATCACGGAATCAAGTATTGGCAAAGCGAGGCTAGGCTTGAAACGGATTATATGCCAGGCAAATTTATTCATTATCATCAACTTTCTCAAAACATTCCTTCGGACGACTGCATATGTTGAATTGGATTTATTGTTATTCTTTTAACCACTGTAAAAGCAAGCTGAAATTATTACCCTCACATAACGCAAAATTGGGATTTTCAACTCGAGGCTCACCATAGAAAGAAGGGATCATCCATTGCACTAGGTGCAAGGGTTGTCTAGATTCGACGAATCAAATTATAAACGAAGGGAACAATAAGAAGCATTTGTTTTAATTTTACACAGATTATGGTCGGTTACGATTATATTTCCACCAGTGCGATTGACATTCGAATTTTAATGAAAGTTCAGAACCTTATGTAAGCGCCAAGATTTATACTAAGTGTAGGTTTAAAAAGGTTATTATACGAATGCAAAACAGGAATTGCCTTATTATGAATACAAATCAAGAATTACCTAATTATATCGAATGTATTATGCAACCATTAATGGATTACTAAATCACTGTTTGGCCTCCCCTTTAAAAAAAAATAACGAAACATTTTAAAATATTAATTTTCAAAATTTATATATACTGTACATACTATAGTACCTTTAACCGGAAAAAAAATATAATTACGTATTTTAGATTAGGTTATGACGGTCAGGTGTGACGTGTGTATCTCAAAACTCAAGTCGATGATTGATTACATGCCATTGGTAATAAAGAAATGCCTACGTTTACTGTTAAGTTAAAAAATCGTTCTCTCATCTTCTCCACTTTACGTGAAATAAATGGTGGTCGAAACGCAACCCTATAAAAGATGCATTTTTTTCTGCTGTCCATCCTTCTACAAAACCAATGTGACATTTAACAAAGGTCTTACAAAAACAAACTCATTTCACTTAAATCTAGATATCTGCACATCCTCACAATCAAGTTCCACTTAAATCTAGATTTCCGCAATTAATTTTCTAATCGGAATTTCTTTGCATAAATGCTCCCATTCATCGTTTCGGAAAATATGCCCCGCCTTCTCGCAGTTACACTTCTCGAAGCCAACCAGGTATTATTAGATAGATTAACTATTTCTCAATATCTTATTACACTGCTACCTAATTACCTTTTTCCGAACTAGAGAGGAAAATGCTTTGGCCGCTACTTTATTCTTCGTCGTTGCGAAGATGACCCCGAAAAATATCCATTTGTGTATAGGGTTCAGCACCATATGGTCCTCTTCCTGTGGGACGTAAATCAAAAAATGCCATTGAAACAAACCCTCGTGAAACCAAGATCAACACTACTATCGCTGAACAAATCGGCAAGATCAAATCCAAAATCGATTCCCGTGATGCTAACTACGTATGCAACGGAGGCACAGAATATCATTTAACGAAGTCGAGCGAGTTCTAAAAACCTACCATATCAATTTTAATCGATCAATCAGAGTACGAATAGGAGAGGATCTGACATGACTAACAGAGTGAGGCTTCGTCATCTGCTCGCTCATCAAATCCCTCTGTAGTTCGGAAACCATCTTTGATAGGGCTAAGGGTGCGAATGATTCAATACTTGCATCGTTAATATCCTTGATCAAACGAACTCGCATATTTCACAAAGTAATAATAAGGTACAGTATATTGGTTTTATTGTTCAGCTAGCTTCTTGAAATATGTCATCACGATGTTAATCGATTTTCCCATCTCTTCAGACGTTCCAAAACAAACCGGACATATTACTCTTTTTTTGTAGACGTGAGAGAGCAAAGAAATAACTTGATACCGGGACTCGTACTAAATGGACTAGGATCCGCGTACTCCCTCCCTCTTCGATAGCATCATACATTTCATTTCACTTCTCCAGCATTTTCTCATTAAAAGATAATGTTGATCCCGAAAATTTTCTCGATAATGTTGATGATCAAGATGGATATCGCACCTCCTAGGACCGTTATATCAAAGACATTTGGGACCCCAAGGAAAGAGGGTACTAAAGATGTAATTAACGAAACAGAAGAGAAGTAAATAGTGTTAGGTATAAACTTTATGTGTGGTAAACTTGCTCACGTGATGTCTTTTTTTTATCGCAAGCCGTATTATTAGCATTCATCGTGTATGCTGCATGTAGTAAAGTTTGTTATCTTGTATGCTACATTTGGAGTGTTGGGATGCTTAACTAACTGTTCATGTGCTGTTAAAACTCATTGTGACCAATAGATATTGTAATAAATTAGTATCGATTTTTGCAACATTATGGACATAATTTTAAAGGAGGGGAATCGATCCATATAATGTGAGTAGAGTATATACAGTATACGCTCTAAAAAAGATGTTGAGAAAGTATTGATGGAAGTATCTCGATCGAAAATATTATCCCGCCTTTTCCTGATAAATCACTCAAAACAAGATCTATGTACTGTACATAGTTAGCAACAGACAGATGAGCTGTATTCCACGAAAAAATTCAATATAACTCGAAAATTTCAGACATTTCAACCCCAGATTCAGTCTTCACTAGTAATGCGAAGGCCGCAAAATTATCGTTTTTTTTTTCACTTGTGTTTCATCCGCAACTGGACGAAGAGATTTCAAAATCCTCACGATGAGAAGATCTCTGACCGTGATTTTTTCAAGATGGGCAAACAAGATTTCAGAGACTGCAGTTTCAGGATTGGGCCTGCGATTAGACTTGTGGACTTTGCAGAGAGGTTAAGGGGAAAAAATTGAGGGCGTTTTCATAATTTCTCAGCCTGAAAGAAGTATTAGAAAAGTTTGACTTCAATAGCGATGGGATAGAGGCAATCCCCCCGTTTGAACGAACTTCAAGAAGAAGATAAGCACTTCATGAATTGTATGGCAGAGATTTTGGTTTGATTGAAGAGTTTGAGACCCTACAACCAGATAGTTTAGAAGCCATGCAAAAAAAAAAATACGTCGTGGCATTATTCCATTCGGCTCTCCACATCGTCATAGACGAGACTGGAAAAGAATTAAGTATTCGTTCCCAGCATGAAATTATTGGCGATGTAAGTAAGGGCAGTGAATAAACTTCGCGTTAATACGGTATTTTATTCAAGATCTTGAGGATCTTCTCGGCATAACCGAAGACAAGCAGCCTAAAGTCCCCTTGGGCTTTGCACAGATAAGATGATTTTCGCCAGCAAATCAGTTTATATGGCTTATTTTTCATACCTAATTCTATTAGAATATCAAACAACTCGAGAGCTCAGACGAACAAGAGAAAGCGAAAGTAGGAAGAGGATGATGATTTTGATTGTTCGTATGGGATCGTTACAACAGGGCACGACCGGCACTTTTCGCTATACAGTCCAGGGCAGATTTCAAAAGCAAGCGATGCCGCCCTTACTATCGAATTTACCAAGAAGGCCTTGAAAAAAAGATTCTTAAAAAAACTATATACTGTATAAAAATAAAATCTACTGTATATAAAATTAAATAGAAAAAAATTTTAATATATAATAAAAAAAAACACTAAGAAAAAATTTTTGATTTTGATATAAAACAATTTTAGATATTATATTAATATTACTATTTTAGTGTTGTAAACTAATTACTCTTTGAAATATTCTCGAGTTTAAAGTATAATACTTTTTTATCAGTTACTTTTTTTTTTTTGATACACACAACTTTGCCCATTTTATTAATTATATGCATTACATTTACTTTTGTTTACAAAGTGATTTTTAGACTTTTTCTATGCTTAGTGAAACAATAAAACCAATTGATAACATGATGTGTTGTTCTTCAAAGAGGTACCAACATGTCTAGGCTTCATTAGAGTGTGTGGTGAAGATGTCATGTATACTTGTGGATGTTGTTTTTCAACATATCTATGACAATCTCTAATAATTATGTTTTGGAAATGGGATTGTGTTTGATTGCTCTTTTCTTTCTTCTTTTTCTTAATTTTATTAGTAATATTTCTTGTTCTATATCAAAATGTGAATTCTTTATTTGTCAAATGTTTGTCTTTTGTTTTTTGATATCTATAGAAAAATTCTGTTTGTAGATCAACAAGTAATCCATTATATTTATCACAGTTGCAAAAAGTTTTCGCTTTTTTAGAATTTTTTCTTAAACTTTCATTAAGTAAAGCTGAAATTAAATGCTTTCTTGACATTTTAAAAATTGATAAATAGTAATATAAAGTGGCAAAGTTGTGATTGATATATTAAATAGCTTTGAATTGTAATAT